TCTTGATTTCTTTGCAACATTGTTTTAATAAAATTTTGCCTTTTTCTCTTAAATATTTTACCTTTAAATCAGCCACTCACAGATATTGTAATTTTATATGAAAAATCTGTGGCTCTTCAAAGCACTTGGACATCATTCATTTATTGTAATTATCTACTAATTTTTTAATTAGTAAACTTAAAATTTATAGAATTTTAAAAATACTATAGTCTTTCCTTAAAGTTTCTTAACATTTGTAACTTTGAATAGGTATTTACACTCTCTAACATGAAGTCATCAATGCCTTGATGATATCATCTCATGATTTTGGAATGAGTGGAGGGAATCCATAGGCCACTTTAAAACATCTCTTCTTACGTGAAAAGTAGTTGGCACAGTAGTTGGCTTAATTTTTCCATCTCTTTCCTTTGAGGTAGATGTGGCTTGCAGGGAATGCAGTAATGCCTTCTTTTATGCCATGGCCTAGTTCAGAGTGTAAACATCTGCTCCATCTCAGAAGGAACTTGTGTTTTAAGGCATTGCATCATTGTAATGCATGATGCCAAGCACTTCAGTTTTCTATGTGGTCAGTGTTCAGTCTCTTCATAACCCTGCAGTGTAGCCCTCAGCACATGCTAATCAGAGCAGGAGCAGCTTTTGCTGGTCCCATCTCTGAGCAATGTTCTCCTGCTCTCATTGGCTATTTCCTCCTAAGAGGGCATCAGTGTGATTTTTAAAAAATGTTTTTACTTCAAGTTCATTCTCTCTCTCTCTCCCTCAATTTTGGAGACATGGCTAAGAAGTCTAATCTCCCTCACCGCCTCTCTGTCCCTCTGTAGTACTTGACATTTCTGTGCACGCTGACCTAAATCCAGGTGCTATTATCTGTGACTCTTTGGCTCTCTCCGCTTCTAGAGGCCTCTGCAGTCATGTATACCCCTGTAGCAGGACCGAAGTGCTGCAAATGACAGCTTCTCTAGGAGAGCTTTCAACCAATAGTTGGTGGGAGTTAATGGATATGAACCTTAAAAAAAGTTCTCTCTATTATGATTTCTGTGTCTCTACTTTGCTCCATATATTTATTAACTCTCCTTCTCTCTACTGAACAGATTTCTTAATTTCACAAGACTTCCCTTTCTCCCTTGTATTTTGATCTTGTATACATATGCAGAGGGTTGCATAGAGTAATATGGTTTAATTCATTTCTGATTCTACATCACCATTAGATTTTAGTGCCTTCCACAATCTAACTGGCAGCTGCTCAGTCAGGGTTTCCTAATTACAGATTTTCAAGATAATTTCATGTGATCAGTTTATCCTACGAGTTAATTCACTGGGGTCACAAATCCATCACCATCCAGGGCCTTTGAGTTGAGGTTCCTTAATATGATCATAGAAAATGGATCCTCTTTCTTTCAGTGAAATTAAGAAAATAATAATCTTTTTTTTTTAATTTAAATCTTTATTGTTCAGATTATTACATTTGTTCCTCTTTTTTCCCCCCATAACTCCCCTCCTCCCAGTTCCCGCCCTACCCCCGCCCTCACTCCCCACCCACTGTCCTCATCCATAGGTGCACGATTTTTGT